CCGCTCGTTCCCCCACCCGCCCGGTCGTCACTTGCCCTGCCCATCCAGACAATGCTTGCCCCACCCACCCACTTCGTTTGCCCGCCCAGCCGAGGCTGCAGGCGGCCGGGGGGGAAATGCTGCCCATTTGCCTGCCCCCTCCAGAAGAAACCGGGCGGGCCCTGGGACGGTCAGCAGCCCACGTGCCACTGCCATGTGACCGCTCTCCTTCAGGCAGGCAGAAAGTGAAAGGAGGTGTGCGTAGCTGAGGGAAAAGGAGCCTGCCGTTTGCTTCCTTCATGTGTTCGGGCAGTGGGGCTGCTTTCTTGCACGTCTTTTTTCTTTCTCCGAAGGCAAAAGGTGAACAAGGTGAAAATGGAGAACAAGAAGCCATAAGTGATGACGGCAGCAGCAACAACATCAGAAAGATCAATGTTGGGAGTGGGGCACATAGACATTAAATGATGTGGTGATGATAGGATTATTACAGGAGCCAGCAGCAGATTAAAATTGGGTGGTAGCTACTGGATAAGGGGAACGTTGATGATGTAGACAGCTGAGGAAACTGAGAAGATGCCAATATGAGCTCAAGATATTGGCATCCAGGACGGGTAAAGCACCAGCCATTGGAGGAGCCTGAGATGTTGTGAGATATCCCAGAGAATCCCAGGGTGCTGCTAACAGCCAGAGGCCAGTAGGTATGATGTAGTAACCTAGGGAGAAAGTCTGCCCACATTTCAAAACTTGTACCCAGCCACAAAGCCAAGAACCTGCTCTCAACCCAAAGCCCAATTGCGGTAATACAATACTAACTGGGCATACAGAGAACTGTGTTGAGTTGGCTGATAATGGAATAAAGACAATGGAAGAATAAGGTATACCAAAGACTTTGTAAGAAAGATGGAACTAAGACATAGGATAAACCAAGATAAAGGTCATAATTACATGAATACTGGGAAATAGTATAGGTAGTTCTCGACTTACAACAGTTTGCTTAGTGATGTTTCGAAAGTTACAATGGCGGTGAAAAAAGTGACTTATGACCATTTTTTATATTTATGACCATTGCAGCATCCCCATAGTCATGTGATTTATATTCGGATGCTTGACAACTGACTCATATTTATGATGGTTGCAATCCCCTTTTGTAACTTTCTGACAAGCAAAGTCAATGGGGAAACCAGATTCACTTAACAGTCAAGTTACTAACTTAACAACTGCACTGATTCACTTAACAAATGTGGCAAGAAAAAATCATAAAATGGGGCAAAACTCACTTAACAAATTTCTCACTTGGCAACATACATTTTGGGCTTGAGGACTACTTGTAATTCTGAATCAAAGGCTATATAGCTGTAGCTTGTCTGTAAAAAGATAATAATAAAAATACCCTATTCATGGGATCTACTGAATATTGCTTTATGCCTGAGGGCCCACATCCCCAGATTTAACCTACAACATATGGGAAAGTGGCTAATGAATATTTGGGGCTGATTGTGGAGGAAAGTTAGAAAAATGAGTAGTAATAGCAGCATCATAATATGGCTGGCACCAAGTAAGACTTAATATTGTAGGATAACAAGAGACTGAGTAACTGCAACAGTTTGTACTAGTCATCTCCATGGAACTAGTATGCAGGTAAGATCACTCCACATCACTCTTAAGGATCTCTTGGTAATAGAAGAATTTGTGTGCAAGTGGACAACCGGCTGCTGCTCCTGTACATTGATAAATAAAGACTTTGAGGGGGCCGGTCTGTTTTCTACTTTAGGATTTCAGTCATAGCTGCAAGGGCTATTTTGTGGGATCAACAGGCAAAAGCTCCCAGGAATTACTACTCAGGGTGGTTTTGTTTTGGAGGCGTGTAGAAGAGCTTGACTTTGTTAAGCATGGAAGAAAGGAGTGACAGAAATAGACTACTCCTTGCCAGTCTAATACACCACATCATGACCCTCCGCTGGTGCTTTAGGCAGCCACATCCTGGATGGCAATATCTAGAGCTCATGTTGGCATCTGACCCTCCCTTCAGCTGGTAATGGATGCACTCTAGCTTTAGGCCAACTCAACACTGATTTGTTCTCCTTCAGTGGGTGAAGAAGTGGTCAAGTATTTTTGATCTTTCTGACTTCTCTATATTCTAAAACTATTTCTCAGAATTAATTAAGCAGTAAAGTGTTCCTACAGTATATTTAACATAACTGAAAACACAGTATTGAGAGGCCTTTTTCAGTAGTTGATCTTGTCAATTTTCATGCTTGTAAAGAATTAAGGAAGGTGACCTGAGATGAGCTTGTTCTCTGTCGTGCTGGCTCTTCATGTATCCTTGTATTCGTGCAGAGACCAAAGCAAAATAGTTTGTGCTTTGCCTTAGAAATAGAGAGGAAGAGGCAAGGTTCAGTTTGATTCCCTTAAGAAAATTCCCAAGGAAGAAGTAGAAGCTGCAGATGGGCTAGTATCAGTATCAGACCACTTTACTACTATAGTGATGGGTTAAGAAGCCATCAGAGAGGATACTGGGGAAAAGAATTTGAATAATGGAGGAGCTGGCTGGCAGGTAAAAGATGCTATGATGATTAAAATGGCTATTGAACTGTCATTTATTGGCTTTAGGTTGGTTAATAAGCTTGAAATGGACTGAGGGAGATGGGGAATGTGCTAGGCGACCCTGGGGTGTGCCTCAGAATGAAGATAAATGAAATAAAATGATACCTGCTAGGGAATAACCCGCCAGTCATCTGTCATTTCATCAGCCTGGAAGTGAATGGGACATAGTAATCCCATGGAACTTGTGCCTGCTAATCAATTTAGGAAGACCTTTTCTTGAACCTAGAGGGGTATAAAAGAGTAGAAATGAGTAATCATAAGCTGGGTGAGGTAGATGTTCATCACTCTCAAGTTTCCTATGAAAGTGAGGAGCAGCTATCTATATAAATGTATTGCTGCCTTCTAATTTTTTTTAATATGGCAGAAAAGTAGTTATTTATAAGGCTGTAATGGTGCTCCAATTGAAATTTATTCAATTCAGTTCAGTTAAATGTAAATTTGACATAAATAATGATTCAAAATAAGAGCAGAGAAAAAAACCAAACCCCTACATTAATTCAACTCAAATTGCAATCACACTTGTTTTCTATTACTTTTTTATTTAAATCCGAAACTTGCTATTTTATCTAATTTAATCATCATCATAATAAAACTTCAGGATCATTTGCCTTGCTTTATGTGGGAAAAAAATCTAATGTTTTAGGGAACTTTGGAATGTTCTATTTCTCCTCTACAATGCCCCAACAATTTTATACTGCCATATTTTTCAGAGTATAAGATGCACCCTTTTCCCTCAAAAAAGAGGGTAAAAATCTGGGTGCGTCTTATACACTGAATACAGCATTTGTTGCTTCCCGAAAACCTGCCTCCTTCACCAAAATGGCTGTGCAGAGCCTGTAGGAGGCTTTCAGAGAGCTCCTGGGGGCTGGAGAGGGCAGAAATGAGAAAAAACAGACCTTTTTTGCTCAATTTTGCCCCAGCCCCCAGGAGCACTCTACAAGCCTCCTAAAGGCTATTTATGCCCTTTTCTGAAAAGGCCCATTTTTGCAAAAAAATGGGCTGTTTTGGGGAAGTTTGCAGAGCGCAATAACTTTTTTTAAAAATTTGCCTATTCAAAATCTTGGTGCATCTTATACTCTGTTACGTCTTATACTCCAAAAAATGTGGTAGTTAATTATCTTTTTGGAAGCAAAACCATTTAAAGTTCAGAGAACTAATTTCTGAAAATTGTTAAATCACATCTGGAACAAAGTAGCCAGTGTAGAATGGAAGGTTTCCAGTATTTTTCAGAATGCCATGTTTTCACATCTCTATTTATCATGATTGCACTGCATGAATTTTTGTATTTTTTTTAAAAAAAAAATCAATTATTCTGTAAGCCATCCTAGAAAGCCCTGCAATATATCCAGGGAAGCCTTTCATAGAACATAAATTTCCTTTTACCTCACAGAGTGCTTTCTTCCTTTCCATTAGACAAAAATGAGCTGAAAGTGTTTGTGGAGCTGGCTTCAATATCTGCAGGAGAGAATGACATGGAGGTGGACCGTGTAGCTTGTTTTCATGATGCTGTGTTTGGCTACTCCTCCCTGCTGTATGATTTAAAGCGAGGGGCAGGATTTAAGGAATTCATGAAGTGTTTGAAGAACATATGGAAAGCTCTGGAAAGTGATTGTAACCTCCCCACGAAGCTGGTAATTACTGCAGCAGCCTTGTATCTTTCCATTACTCCCCTTTAAATGACTATGCATTTGGTAAAGATGCTTTATGCTTATAGCATATTAATTCATTAAAGATGTATTAAAAATGTTCTTTGAACCTGAATGTCTACAGGCGCTCTGTATTCAAAGAGAAACGTGGAGCTATGCTTTGCCACACGAAGTACAATTTGCATACAGTATTATGTCAATTGGTGATTTTTAACATGGGTAAAATGTGTTTGAAAGCCCAGAAGACAGTGGGGTAGAAATTTTAGAATGTCCTGCATGACTTAGGAAAGATACAGGCTAATGGGAATATTCCTTGTCATATCTTCTCCCTGCAGCGTGATTCTGCAAGATACTTGGATTGGTTAAAAACTATTAAAGAGAGTCATGGCTCTGTGGAGTTGTCATCTATATCCCTAGCAACCAGCATCAATGAGAAAGGAATTTATAGAATTAAGGCCCCAGAAGAAGGACAGAAGGTGAGACATTGCTTAAAAATGATTCCCAAGCATGTGTATTTTTTCTTCTTTTCTGCTAATTTCCACAAAACCAATTTTAAATGTTCTTTATGCATTTAATTTGTTTGCCTCTACTGCTGAACCAACTCTTGATAGTGTAAAATAAAATAAGGATTAAACACTGAAATACAGTAAAGTACGAAAAGGATATTATTGTATTAATAGCCTGCTTGTAATGAAAAGGCGTTAGCAAAAAAAAAAAGTGGTAGTCATGCAATTTTCACCACCACTAACATTTAAAATTGCATTCCAACTATATTACAATCACTTTTAATGATACTTGCTAATAAATTGCTTTCTTTATGAATGTCTGATGTTTACTGAATTAATACTGATTTAAATGGGCAGTCTTCATTATGTATATATATTTATGTTTTGTTGTAAGGTTTGCCTGGACACTGTTCTGAATCTGACAGTCAAAGAAAGTCATGGGGACCAAGAGAAGACTCGGCACTATTCTCTGGAAGAGCTTCAAGAACTGATGAATAAGTTGATGCTGATGTCCGGAAAAGAAGAACAAAGTGCGCAAGTGGAGAAATTTTCTGAAGTAAGCTTCCTGTTGTTTTTTCCTCCATATTTCAAATTATTGTAATTGAAATACATGTGAGAGGGAGAGGAATGGACATCTGGCTCCTGCTTTTTTCTTGGTGCTATTTCTAGATTGTATTGATAATCCTCCATTTTGAGGAAAGCATCTATAGCCAGCCAAAGTCCATAATTAAATACATGTCTTGCTAAATCAGTAAATTTTGTATTTTGGTATTTTTGTGTCTTTATTGAGAGTCAGTGAGATTTTAACACTCTTCAGAATAAAGTTATTGAAACCTGTTGTAGTTTGATGATTTAAACCATTTTTATTCTTCAATTTTTATGTCTGTGACATTGTACCAGATAATATAAGAACCTTGAACAGAATGCCAAGTCCTGTAGTCTTAACAGTCTGATATTGATTAAGAGGAATTGATTATTTTAGATTAGCATTTAGCATTTAAAATAGATACATTTTGTATATGTTTAAAGATTATTGCTCAATTGTAACAGCTATTACAATAGTGGCAATTATAATGCTCAGGGTGTTTCTTTGGGGAAAATGGGATTATTTCCTCTCTATCACACACACACACACACACACACACACACACACACACACACACAC